TTAAAAATGACAGAATGACATCTGTTTGAATCCAAGGCAAATCATTCAACATCACAATAACATAAGTCTATGACCACTGATGGAGAAGAGGCCAAAGTTACTTGGTTCTATGAAGAGGTATAACATCTTCTAGAAATAATACCAAAAATGGTGTCACATTCATCATAGGGGATTGGAATGCTAAAGGAGGAAATTAAAAGATAATTGGAAAAACTGGAAAATTTGGCCTTGGAGAACAAAATGAAGCAGGGCAGAGAATAATAGAGTTTTATCAAGATAACTTGTTGATCATAGCAAACATTCATTTTCAACAACCCAAAAGGCAACTCTACATGTGGATATCACCAGATGGTCAATATAGAAATCAGATTGATTATACACTTTGCAGTTCAAAGGTGGAGAAGCTTTATATAGTCAGTTAAAACAAGTCCTGGAACTGACTGTGACTCAGATCATGAGCTTCTTACTGCAAAATTCAGACTTAAATTCGAGAAAGGAGGGGAAAGCATCAGACTGTATAAGTGTGACCTAAAGAGCATCCCTTATGAATATGAAGTAGAGGTGATAAATAATTTTAAGGGATTAGATCTGGTAGATAGAGTGCCTGAAGAACTACGGACAGAAGTTCACAATATTGTACAAGAGGCAGCAGCAAAAAGCATTCCAAAGAAAGAGAAGAGCAAGAAAGCAAAATGTCTGATGAGGCTTTACAAATAGCTGAGGAAAAAAAGGAAAGGGAAAGGGAAAAGATAAAGAGAAATATATACCCAACTGAATGTTGAATTCCAGAGAATAGCAAGGAGAGATAAGAAGGTTTTCTTAAATAAGCAATGTTAAGAAATAGAAGAAAACAATGGGATGGGGAAAACAAAAGATCACTAAAAGAAAATTAGAGATAAGAGAGCATTACAAAATATAAATAGATAATTTTAATTATGTTAAATTAAAAGGTTTTTATACAAACAAAACCAATGCAACCAAGATTAGAAGGAAAGCAGAAAGCTGAGAAACAATCTTTATAGCAAGTGTCTCTGAAAAAGGTCTCATTTCTCAAATATATAGAAAACTTAGTCAAATTTGTAAGAATAATTGCCATTTTCCAATTGATAAATGGACAAAGGATATAAACAAGCAGTTTTCAGATGAAGAAACAAAGCTATCTATAGGCATATGAAGAATGTTCTAAATCACTTTTGATTAGAGAAATGAAAATTAAAACAACTCTGAGATATCACCTTACACCTATAAGACTGGCTAATATGACAAAAAAGGAAAGTGATAAATGTTGGAAATTGATACACTGTGGGTGGAGTTGTAAACTGATCCAGCCATTCTGGAGAGCAATTTGGAACTGTGACCAAAGGGCAACCAAACTGTGCATACCCTTTGATCCAGCAATATGACTACAATCCCACTACAATCCCAAAGAGATCATAAAAAAAAAAAGGCGAAAGAACCTATATGTGCAAAAATGTTACAGCAGCTTTTTTCATGGTGGCAAAATGTTGGAAATTGAGGGGATACTCATCAATTGGGGAATGGCTGAACAAGCTTTGGTATATGAATGTAATGGAATACTGTTGTGCAATAAGAAATGATGAACAGGCAGATTTCAGAAAATCCTGGAAAGACATGTACGAATTGATGAAAAGTGAAATGAGCAGAACCAGGAAAACATTATAAACAGTATCAGCAACATTGTGTGATGTCAACTATGAATGACTCAGGACTGATGAAGGAAAATGCTATCCATATCTAGATTAAGAACTGACCAACTCTCAATGCAGATTGAAGTATATTTTTTTTATTTTATTCTTTCTCATTTTTTTATTTTGATCTGTTTCTTCTTTCATGACTGTGACTAATATGGAAATATTTTACATGATAGCACATGTATAAACTATATCAAACTGCCTATCATTTTTGGAAGAGGGGAGAAGAGGGAGGGAGAAAAATTTGGAACTCAAAGTACTGTAAAAATTAATGCCTAAATTTTTCTTGACATGTAACTGGGGGGAAAATACTACTAAAAAAGAAAAGAAAATTAGAGATATGAAGGGAACAGTTTCATGCAAAAATGTGCCAAGACAAAAATGATAGGGACTTAATGGAAGTAGAAGAGATTAAGAAGAGGTGACAAGAACATACAGAAGAATTGTATAAGAAAGATCTTAACATCACCAATAAGCATGATGGTGTGGAGCCAGACAACCTTGAGAATGAAGTCAAGTTGGCCTTAGGAAGCATTGCTAACAATAAGGCTAGTGGAGGTTTTGGAATTCCAGCTGAGCTATTTAAAATCCTAAAAGATGCTGCTGTTGAAGTGCTGCACTCAATATGCCAGCAAATTTGAAAAACTCAACAGTGGCCACTGGATTGGTAAAGTTCAGCCCAATCCTAAAGAAGGTTAATGCCAAAGAATGTTCAAATTACCAAACAATTGCACTCACTTCACACACCAGCAAGATTATGCTTACGATTTTGCAAGCTAGACTTCCGTAATTTGTAAACCAAGAATTACCAGAAGAGCAGGCTGGTTTTCCAAGAGGCAGAAGAACTAGAGACCAAATTGCCAACATTCACTGGGTTATGAAGAAAGCAAGGGAGTTCCAGAAAAACATCTACTTTTGCTTCATTGACTACACTAAAGCCTTTAACTATGTGGATCACAACAAAATGTGGTAAGTCCTCAAAATGATGGGAGTATCAGATCATCTTACTTGTCCCCTGAGGAAACTGTACGCAGGCTAAGAAGCAAGACTTAGAACAAACATGGAACAGCTGATTGGTTTAAGATTGGGAAAGTGCAACAAAGCTGTATATTGTCACCTTATTTATTTAACTTACATGCAGAATACATCAAGATAAATGCCAGGCAGAACAAATCAAAAGCCAGAATTAAGGTTGCCAGGAGAAATATCAACAATCTCAGATACGTGGACAATACCACTCTGATGGCAGAAAGCAAAGAAGAATTAAAAGCCTCTTGATGAGGGGAAAAGAGGAGAGTGTAAAAGCTGGCTTGAAGCTTAACATTAAAAAAAATCTAAGATCATGTCAACTAGACCCATCATTTCTTTGCAAATAGAGAAGAAATTAAATCAGTGTCATAGTTTATATTCTTGGGCTCAAAGGTCACTGCAGATGCTGGCTGTACCCATGAAATCAAAAGATACTTCCTCCTTGGAAGGAAAGTTGTGGCAAATCTGGACAGCATACTAAAAAGCAGAGAGTCCTCTTTGCCAACAAAGGTCTTTATATTCAAAGCTATAGTTTTTCCAGTAGTAATCTGAGAGTTGGACCCTAAGGAAAGCTGAGCATTGCAGAATCGATGCTTACAAAATGTAGTGCTGGAGAAGATTTCTAAGCATCCTTTGGGCAGCAAAGAGATCAAATCCGTCAATACTTAAAGAAATTAACTCAGATTATTCACTCAAAGGTCAAATACTGAAGCTGAAGTTTAAATACTTTGGCCACATAATGAGAAGACAGGACTCATTGGAAAAGACCCTGATATTGGGAAAGATAGAAGTCAAGAGGATAAGGGGACAGCAGAGGTTGAGATGAATGGATAGTATCATGGAAGCAATACATATGAGCTTGGACTGACTTCAGAAGATATTGGAGGAAAAAAGGGCCTATCATGCTATCATTTATGGGGTCAGAAGAGTAGGACACAACTGAACAAATGAACAACACACATTAAAAAAAACTCTGAAGTACCACTTCATACCCATCAAATTGACAAAGATGACAAAGAGGAAAAAGACAAATGTTAGAGGGGCTGTGGGAAAACAGGTACATTAATAGACTATTGGTAAAGCTGTGAATTTGGTCCAGTCATTGTGGAAAGCAATTTGGAGATATTCCCCAAAAGTTATTAAATTATGCATGCATACTCTTCAACTCTGTGATATTGCTACTAAGTCTATATCCCAAAGAATCAAAGAAAGAGGAAAAGGACTCATATGTACAAAAATATGTATAGTAACACCTTTTGTGATAGCAACAAATCGTAAACTGAGAGTGTACCCATCAATTGTGGAATGACCGAACAAATTCTGGTATATGAATGTGACGGAATACTATTGTGCTGTAAGGAAGGATGAAGGGGATGGTTTCAGCGAAACCTGGGAAGATTTGTAGACACTGATGCAAAGTGAAGTGAACAGAATCAGGAGAAAAATTTACATAATAACAACAATATTGTAAAGACAAACACCTTTAAAAGCCCATTCAACACAATGACCAACCACAATTCCAGAGGATTCATGACAAGGCGTGATAGTTTGTCCAACTCTCTATGACCCCATCTGGGGTTTTCTTGGCAAAGATACTGGAGGGGTTTGCCATTTCCTTCTCCAGCTTGTTTAACAGATGGGGAAACTGAGGCAAACAGGGTTAAGTGACTTGCCTAGGGTCACACAGCTAGTAAGTGTCTGAGGCTGAATTTGAACTCAGGAAGATGAGTCTTCCTGACTTTAGGCCTGGCACTGTACCCACTACACCATCTAGCTGCCCCTGATGAAGCCTGCTACCCACCTTTAAAAGGGGAGGTGATAGATTCAGAGAGCAGGTTGTTGGGGGGGTTTTTTGTTTTGTTTTGTTTTGCTTTGCTTTGCTTTTAGGACATGGCCAATGTGGGAATTTGCTTGACCATACATATTTTTAATGGGCTTCATTTTACTTGTTTTCTCAATGTGGGAGGGGAGTTAAAAGTGAGAAGGAGAATTTGGGACTGAAATAAAATTGAATTTTTTTTTAAAAAAGAGCATTTATAAGATCCTACTTCTCTGACCCTTAGGATCTTTCACTCTCTGAAGGTAAATGTATTTTTCTGGCTGGAAAATCATGTGATGAGCTCCTCTGCTAGCATAGTTGAGCGTATCTCCCCCTGCCCCCTTGGATCTTTTAACTAGCTGAATTAGTTTGGTAATTTCTGATTGGTGTTAGATGACAGCTCTTTCTGATGTCTTCCCTGTCCTCTTCTCATCTTCTAGGAGCACATTTATAAGCTGATGAAGAGTGACAGCTATACCCGGTTCCTTCGGTCTAATGCTTACCAGGACTTACTACAGGCAAAGAAGAAGGTATTTGGGGGGAAAGATAGGCTTGCCTCTCTTGGCACCTATTGATTCTTGCCTGCTGCTTGCTGCGAGTGTGAAAATGAGACTATTATTTCCTGAGCTTTGTGTTTGTTTTTCTTCCTTCTCACCCTCTCCTCTCAGCTACCTTTTTATTTTTTTCTGGTTGAAAGAATGAGAATGATTGTTTCCTAACCACAAAGGTCCAAGATATGAAATCCTTCCCACTGTGTCCCTATTCCCATATTCTGCATGTGCTACCCACAGAGGGAAAAGGGAGCCAGATGAAAGCTTGCAATCAGTGTTGGTCATAAAAACCCAGCATCCCATTCAGGAGATGAGAGAAGTAGGTTGATACAGAGCTTGGCCTCTTGTTGACTCTCACAGGGAGGTGAATGAGGCCATTTGATGGTAAAGGAATTGGACTGGCAACTTTCTTTGCCTAGAAAATTCTGCTGGCTCCATGACGTAAGTCATCCTTAGAGTGACAACAACTCCTCTGACCCTTTTCCTCACCCCCACCCAACCTGAAGCATTTTAATTTTAACCCAGAAGAACCTTTAAGCCTTGCATACAATCTAGTTGCCTGGCTTCTTTCTTCCTTCTTTGAAACTAAGTCATAGTTCTCTGCAGTCCACTGGGGGGCCAGGAATCTTGAAAAATGCAGGTGAGGGAAGAGTAACTGTAACAAAGATAAACTCCAGGGAAATCTAGATGGTCCCCTGGGCAAGGTGGATGAGGTGGAAGAGGGGAAGCAGAAGAACTGACTTTGCATTTCATCAGACTGTGTTTAAATGCTTTCAAATTTTCCATGATAGTCTCATGTCCTCCAGATGATTGAACGTGGTGCCCAATTATACCAAAGTCTACTTCCGTACCACTTTAGGACAAATGTTTTCTCCCCACCTTTTCTCTTTCCATCTCTCTCTTCTTGGTCCTTATTCCTGAAGCTCTTGGTTTTCCATCAACATGTTCTTTGCTGGTGTCCCCCTCAACTGTGTAGCCCACTTTGTATGTGCTTAAGACACTGGCTGCTGCTTTGTGGGGTTTCTATTATACTGTCTCTGTATACTGTTTGGTATCATATAACTCCATGGTCTTTGATCGTGTTTTTCCTCCTTCCTTCTCCTCTTCAGTATATATGGAAGTATCCTTGCTGCCAGGGACCCCTGCTAACCTAAAAGAAGTTCTGATTGGAAAAGGGAGAGCAGAGAGAAGAAGACAGGGAAACAGTGCTTCCTATAAATGCCTTCAATACCCTTTCTTTTAGTGTTATTGTAAAGAGAGAGGTCAAATTAATTCAGCTCTCACCAGGGAAGATCAAAGTGAGTTCCTTGTGGGCTTGGGACCCCCTAAATAATCACCATTTCTTGGTGTCCCAGGAAGTCCAGAGTTGTGCAAGTGTAGAGTAAACTAATCTGAGCCTATTTGGAAGCTGAGAAAGGGAAAGATAAAATGCTCCTTCAGGCCATAGTAGAGATATGGGTGGGAAGGGGAAAAGTTTGTTCACAAAAGGCATGAGAAGTGGTAAAAAAGAAAGTCTAAGTTACTCCTAGATGCTCAGGTTGAACGTGTGAATTCATTAGGGAATATTTATTTGGCTAAGAAAGAAACTTCTGGGCCTTCCTATGAATTACCAATAACAATGTAATGATCACATTTCACTAGATTCTCCTTCAGCGTATAGCTCTTTCCAAAAAAAAAAAAACACCAAAACCTTTCAGTGTCCAGAAAATGGTTGTATTAAAAGATAATGGCATTAAGCACTATGTAAGACCAGATTAGTCCTACTTTTCTTGGCTTCTAGCCTTCCAGTGGATTTCCAGTGGTAGATCTGATTTACCCACTGCATATGTGCCACATGTAAGAAATACACATTCTCTGTGACAAGAGCATTCATGTCATGGGGTACTGCCGATGAGGGAGGGGGCACGTGAACCCAAAAGAGGATGGAAGTGGAAATCCCCCACACACACATCCTTACAAGGGTCACTTATTCCAGAAAGGGAGTGTGTTCATAAGTCTTCCTCCTTAATTGTTACTGCTATGAAAAGTCCTTTGACAGCATTTGTAGGCGTGTCCTTCTGATCCTTTGATGTTTAAAAAAAAAAAAACCTCCACAAGTTCCTTGAGAGATGAGCCAGTTTCTCTGAAAAAGATCCTGGGATCTTAGTAGATTACAAACTCAACATGAGTCAACAGTGTAACATGGCAGCCCCAAAAGGTAATGTAACCTTGGGCTACATTAATGGATGATCAGGGATTCAAATCAATCTTAGTATGCTTCTCAGGACTTATGAAGTAACTGTGATATGACTTTCCCAAGGAAACAAGAAGTCTTAACCAAGAGAGTGAACTTTGTTCCAAATCAAGACCCTTTCCTCCTTCCCAAGGGAGATCTGGAGAGTTGGGTATTTAACAAACCTTTCCATGAATAAGCAACTTAGTGACCAGGGGCTGGAAGTTGATCAGGGCAGTAATCAAGTAGTGAGAACTAGGAATGGTCTCTTCTGAGCCAAATGTATATCCTCCCTACCCCCTTTTAGCCACTAGCCTGAAGTTGAATTATCTGTCCCCCCAAAGAAGAGGAGGCTTGTTATGTTATCCAGGGTCAGGCATACAATTTTCATTACCTACAAACTGGAAGAATGTTCAACCATGGTCTTTCCGTCATTGTTCCTTTGTTTTCCTTGTGTACTTCCAGTATCTGCTTTTCTTCCTGCTGAGTGACTTTGCTGTCATGCTGGGGCCCGGGTATGCCAGTATGTGTTATCTGCAATGCAGGCAGATAAGTGTCTTTGGCCCACTCCCCAGGCTTTCACTCTATCCTGCAAACCCACAGACACCTGGCTTCTTCATTGCCTTAATTTTTTTTTCTTTGTTTGGTAGCATTTTTCTTTCTTTCTTTTCTTTTCTTTTTTCAGAATTTCCTTCCTCTACTTTGTAAGGCTACCTCAAACACAGGCCCCAGGAACTGAGCTTGAGGGCAGACTAGCAGTTGTGTGGGCTGTGACCACACTCTTCTGAATCATACTGGCAGAAAATTCTGGAGAGGGACTCAATCAACAGGCAGACACCTGTACCTCCAGACTGGTAGCATGCACACCCAAGCAGCCCCCAGAGCATGGAGATTTCCTGGTCTTTGTTCCTGATTTCTTTCCTCTACTCCCTGCCCCCAACCTCATCATTCCAGGTTTGTTGCTTAAGCAACGCTGAGTGAGCTCCACGTGATGCTTTGCCAGTTTCCAGAACACTGGATGGACATTTGTCAGTGAAAGTGTTTAGGCATAACAGAATTTTCCATAGGACCACGGAGAAGCTTCACCAGCTTTTCCTCCCATGGATGAAAGGGCCCAGTTCCCAGAGCTGGCACATTTTTCCCCCAGTTATGAGTCACCATCCGTGATACCCAGAGCAAGCAGCATCAGATTCGCCTCAAGTGATGCTTGGGGTACCACTTGGGGAAGAAAGCTACATAAGGGAAAGGGAGAAGTGGTGGGCTAGAAGAGAGATCACCTGGGACCTGCTTCACAGTGAAGCATCTGGTAGCTTCCAATTTTAACTAATTATTTTTGCTAACTAGGTGCTAAGCCCTATTTGGAAAAAAAAAATGCAGAAAGACTACAAGTACTATCAGGGCCCTGGGGGAAAAGCCTGCATTGGTCTATTCTAATTACAATGCTGAAGATAGCCCTTTAAGGTATAGTCTATCCTTTTGTTAAGAAAAGGGCATGGATAAGATCAGCCTGGTACTTCCTGCCATGCCACAGTGGTAGTATACTAGATTAACACAGAAGCCTTTCAATAGAAGTCATTAGGAGTAGAAGAAAACCAAGATTTCTGAGTATCTGGGAAGGATATTGCTATAGGGAAATAAAGGCTTTCTTTATTCACTTGCTAAAATCCATTAGGCTGATTTCTTCTTGCTGTGACACCTTTCTGCTTGATGTTACACTCAGATAAAAAAAAAATTTCCACTTGAGGTGCTTGGCCTGAAATGAATGGGAGTGGGGAGGAGAATCCAAGATGGCAGCCTGCTCTATCTTATAAACAAAGGCTAATGGAAAAACAGTGAGTTCTAGAGCAAGAGGACTAGGCCTTAGGACTCACCTGGGAAGTGTTGATAGCTTCTAATTTATGAAGTTAAAGGAGGTTATGAAACCTGGAGAGATGAAATATTGAGTCCTTCTCCCCTCCAGGCAAAGAAGTTGGTGACATTTTCCTTAGAGAGTTTCTGTTTCCTCTTGTAAACAGCACTGGCTGCTTCCCCCCTTTTTTGTTGTTGTTGTTTTTTGGTTTTGCCTTTCTTTTGGCTTCTTTCTTTGACTTTTGCTGCCCTTTGAAAACTGCATCTAAGCTGAAGACTTTTTTCCCTGTATTTTTCTCCCAATTTTTTTTCCCCCAAAGCCAGAAAATGAGCAAGGTCGTAGAACTTCCTTAGAAAAGTTCACTCGCAGTGTGGTAAGTTCAGCTGGGTTTTTTTCCCCCCTCCACCTTTTCTCCGGTTTGTTTTTCTTTTTGGTTTGTTTTTGTGTTGTTTTGAGTTTTAATTTGGGCTGGGGTGGAGTTTGGTGCTTTTCTCGCCTCCAACATCCTTGTACCCTGTTTGCAGCTTCTCTTCTAGGGATGGATTTGCAAAAGAGCAAATTATTTTCTTTTATAAAAGCTGCCTGCACAACTACTGAGTTTCAGGCCTGGGTGTGTGGTCTTTCTGCCCTTGCTTTTAGAGGAATGGAAGTACCCATATACCTCTATGAGCTCAGTAGCTCGTGTCTTTTCTGCAATAACCCAGAAAGGTCATTTCTGTGCACAAAAAAAAAAAAGTTAATTTTTGGCCAAATGTCATAGCTCATTTACAAAATTAATAATAATTGAACCATGCACAATGAAAAAGAAAAGAAAAGAAAAGAAAAATAGCAACAACTTGAAATTCCCCACTGTGAACTCTGGCAGCAAAGCTGGGATCAGTCCCGAGTTGACATCGCTGTAGCCACTCGCTTTTGCTATGTGTATGTAGAGCAGTAATGGCGCATGATTTTGAAAAATGTCCTCTAGCGTGCATCCACCGTGGTATTTTTGCATGAATTCTTAACCACAGGACATCCCTCCTCTTCTTCATAGAGTGATTGGGAGATGAGGGCACAGCAAATAGCGTTGACCATTATGGGAAGTAGGGAGTGATCTGCCTGTTGCTTGTCAGTCAGGGTCGATTGTTATCCTCTCAAGACAGAGTATATAGCTAAGTCCACTTGACTTTCTAGATTGGTCACCTTTCACTCACACAACCTTAATATAAATAGATGAGTTCAACATAGCCCGAGAGGCTCAAATGGTAAATAGTGTGGGAAATAATCAGAGGTGGGTAGGTCTTCCAGGTTAATGACAGAGATAAAGGATCATGACTTCTCCTTCTGTCCTATGTCCTGCCAACACTTGGCACTGTGTCTCTATCCAGAAGGTACTCATCTTATTAGGTCACTTGCTAAATGACCAGAAGCAAGAATCTGGACAGAAAAGTACCACCTTTTTGCTGCTCAAATCTAATCAGAAGGGACCAAGACCGAAATTCGGGACCAGTAGTGATGTCTTCTTTCTTAAGGGATAATACTGATGTCCTTTTCCTTCTTCCTGAGAAAGGACGGAAAGAAGGAAACAAGAATTTATTAAGTGTTTACTATGTGCCAGACACTGTGCTGAGCACTTTACAAATATTATCTCATTTATCCTCACAATAGCTCTGAGAGGTAGATGCTGTTATTATCTCCATTTTACAGCTGAGGAAATAGAAAGTGACTTGCCCAGGACCACACAGCTAAGAAGTACCTTAGGCTGGATTTGAACTCAGGTCTTTCTGACTCAGACCCAGTACTCTATCCACTTCACCACCTGTCTGAAAAATAAAAGGTGTTGTAAAGCCCAGCCATCGCAAGAAATAGTGATCTGACTTTTATTTGATCCTCTGGTTTAAATTCTAAGAAGCTGGAGATGAATGCAACCCAGTCATTTGCCTCTCCTAATGTGATCACTTAAAAAAATATTAAAATATCACCTTGAACACGCTGCTTGACATGCAATGAAGAGTAAGCAAAAAAATAGGTAATAGTTACTATCTGATCCTCTTTTCCTGCTTTCCATCTCTATCATCTTTTCATAAGATAGAGGACATGTAGATATAAAGTCCTTCTTGTTCCCTGTCACTGCACATAAATGAATCCTCTTAATCAGCTACCCACTTTAGGTAAGGTGGTAATAGTAGAAAGATCGGCTAGGTGATACAGATAAAAAGCTGAACTTAGAGACAGGAAGACTTGGATTCAAATCCTGCCTTGGGAACTCACTAGCTGTGTGACCCTGGGCAACTCATTTAACGTCAATGAGCCTCAATTTCCTCATCTGTTAAATGAGGATGATAATAGCACCTACCTCATAGAGTTGTTAAGAAGACCAAAGGAGATGATGTAGGTAATATGTATTGTGAATCTTAAGGCAATATATAAACTCTAGCTCTTGGTGTCACTGAATCTCTGGAGGCAGAAGACCTGGCTTGTATCTCAACTCAAAAAAAAAAAAAACCTTATATAAATTATATATCTTAGGAAATGGTCATAGGAAATGGTCATAAAGACAGGGACCATGTCATATCTTAACCTTTGTTTCTGCCCCAGCACCTGGGAAAACCAGTTTTTCTAAGCCTCAGTTTAGTTCCTGTAAAACCTTTCTCACAAATTTATGAGGAAAATGTCAGGAGGACCTGGGTTTGAATCCTAGAATATATAGCTATTGATTGTGTGATCCTGAGAAAGACACTTAACATATCTTTGGCTTAGTTTACTTATCTGCAAAGTGGGAAGAGGTGGGTTTTGGATTCAATAACCTCTGTAGTCTCTTTGAGCTCTAAATCTATGATTCTGGGGTATTGGGAGTTTTCAGCAAGGTCCTTCAGGGAGTCCTCAGATGCTAGGGCTTGCTGAACCGTTTTCAGGGCTGCTCATCTACCTTTGGTATCTACCTTTCACCCAACTCTCATCTGTGGTTCCAAGAAGCTGTAGCATGCACAGTGGCCATAACCCATTAAAACTGTCTCAGCAGACGGGGTAAACCAGGTTGAGTCAACAGGCTATTAGTGAGTTAGAGGGATGTCTCCCCCAAGCATGTGAAGACTTCCCTTCCACAGAATGGATAGATTGAATAATTTGTTCCAGTGGCCATGAAGGCAGCTGAGGCAGGAACTGCAGAGCGTTTAAAGCTTGGTCAGACACGGAAGATACCAAATTCATCCACTGCATCCTGGCCCATTGCCAGCCATCCTAACTTTTGTCTTGCCACTGGACTTCAATGACTATGGAGGAGACAGTGAGGCTGCTGCCTTTGTGCAACTCTGCCTTACTTAAATCCAATTCATGTGCAAGTTGGGACATCACCATGTGATGCCATTGGTCTTCTTCGAAAATGAAGGCCAAACAACAACAAATCTATGATCCTATAACATACTGAATTCTAAGGAAGATAGAGAATGAATGGGCCTGTGATTGAATTTGGTATAAGGAATTCTTGGGTAAGGAAATTCCCTCTACCAATGCAGACCAAGACACCTTCTATACAACCTGTAATCTTAGAGAGATACCAGAACACTAACAGGAAAAGTGACTGGTATAGGACCATACAACTGGTGTGTGCCAGAGGTGAGACTTGAGCTGACACACTGCCTCATCAAATACAAAGGACTTTAGAAACTTTAAAACACTATATAAATGCTAGCTATTATTACTATTATTATGATGGTGATGATGATTGTCACCATCAACCTCTAAAATGGTATTTGAATTGAACATTTTAAGAGTTCAGGTCAGCAGGGAAAAAAAGGCAAAAGTCTATAAGACTTAGTCCCACTGGAATACTTGGGGTGAGACAGGAGAAAGTATATATCCCTCCAGAATTGATTTGCTCTCTATTGATGACATTGAGGGGTTTTGCAAACAAGTCTGAAATGGAATGAATATACAGCCTAGATTCTCAGATACAAATTGAAAGAAAACCAATCTTTACAAAGGCACCTAACACATATAAGATGAAAATAAGGATGCGAAAGAGGCCTGCTTTCTTGAGCAAGAGACCCCAAATATCCCCAAGACCTTTTCCTAGGTTTCAGAAGCTATCTTCATTTCTAATCACTTAACAAGTCCTGCCAGTCCCACTTCTACATCTTTCACATCTGTCCCAAGAGCTCCCACACTAGTACTGGTCTTTGTTACCACCTCCCTGAACTCTTTTTCCTAAGAGGGCTTTCAACTTCTCCTCTTTCCTAACCAATCCATTCTTCATGCCATCACATAAAAACCTTCTCTATGCATGGATATGGACATATCATACCCTTGCTTAAAAACCTCAAATGGCTCTCCCTTGCCTAGGGATTAAAGTTCATGATCTTGCCTGACATTTGGTGCCTACCACAAAGCTGATGCCACTCTACCTTTTCAGCCTTATCTCATATGATTCCCTCTATGATCTAGCCAAACTCTCCAAGGATGCCCTGACCATTAGTCTCTGTGCCTTTGCTTATACTATTACCTGGCATGTGTCTTCTTTATCCTTTAACTGTTGAATTTCTACTCCTTTTAAGTTTAGTTCAAATGCTACCTCCTTCATGAAGCTTTTCCTAATTCCTTGTATCTGTAATGCTCTCTTCCAGCCCTTCAGTGTTACTTTGATGCACTTTTCATGTAATCATATGTATTATAATTACCTTTGGAGTCAGTTCTCCTATTAAACTGCAAGTTCCATGAGAAAAGTCTAACCTTTGTTTCCACCCCAGCACCTAGGAGTTTTCTACCCAATGTCATTGTGTTGTTTCAGTCATGTCCAACTCTTTGTGACCCCATTTGAGGTTTTCTTGGCTTACATACTGGAGTGGTTTGCCATTTCCTTCTCCAAATCATTTTACAGATGAGGAAACTAAGGCAAGCAGGGTTAAGTAACTTGCCCAGAGTCACACAGCTAGTAAGTTTCTGAGGCCAGATTTGAACACAGGAAGATGAATCTTCCTGATTCCAAGGTCCGTCCTCTATCCTCTGGGACACCTAGCTGCCCTCTCTGCCCAAGATAATCCCTCAATAAATGTTTTTTCAATGAATTGAGTGGAGGGGGTCATGTGAGGAACATTTACTGCTTGTCTTTTTGTTCTCAAAATGGTTCCATTTCAAGAGCTCCCCACATTCAAGTAATAAAGTATTTGGGATATAAAAGTAACAGACACATGCCAAATATATGAAATGCCTATTTGGGAAAACTTTCATGGTATTTCAGGGCATTCTGAAAGCAAAATATTTTCCCAAACTCCAAACTTTTAGAATTTGGATTAAGAGATAAGGCTTTAAAAAGATAGAGTGGCATAGGATTGTAGAGAGCCTTGGATGCCAATTCAACCCAATAAACATTTATTGAGCACCTACTTGCTATGTGCC